ATAACTAGATGTAACAAAGTAATTTACATTTGACAAGCAGGAACGTTTGTATCATAGCAAGGTCAACCTTAGCCTCACTTCTGTTCAAAGGCTTGGCAGGCAATCAGGCAACTGTAAAATGGACTATTAAGATTCGTTAGTAACAATTTTACTCACCAAGACAACTTGGGGCAGTTGAACTCCACTCTTTTGTTTCTCCACAGGTTATTATTTTGGATCCCGTCAAAATGTAATTCGCCTCACAAGCGAATTCCACCGAGCTACCATAATCAAAACCATTTGTAATTCTAATTCGTTTAACGTTAGCTGCGGCACCTGGATTCCCACAGTTTATAACTGTAAAAAAAAATTTCAAGGTTAAAATACATCAGGAATACACGGGCGCGTAAAATTTAGGATCACTTACTTTATCACATATCCATTAAGACGGTGTAATTTTCATTTTATTAGCCACACAAACGCTCACGTGGTTATGAGATTAAACGCCAAATAAAAAAATGGCATGGCATTCTAGGACATTTGGAATACTGCAAGCTTTCATGAAACACACACATTCATAACCAAACTAAGTTTGAACAACAGCGAGACAGGAATGCGTGAAGAATATAGGTTGGCCTTTGCATATTGAATCATTCTCTTTTGTATATAAGTGTAATGTTAAAGCTAGTTTGTAAAAGAATAGTACTTACTTTGGCACGAAGGTTCAACTCCGCTCCACTGTTCATCGTTTTGACAAACTCGAGTCTCCGAACCAATCAGCTCGTAGCCTTTCTCCTTACACCGATATTTCACATAACCGCCAAGTCGCGTGTGACCGGTTTCCGAAACTATTAAAACTTTATGTGGAGTTGACAACCTACCGCAATCGATTACTTTAAAGGACAAAAGAAAAATATGGAGATAATTATAAAGCAACAGCAAATAAACTTAGTTCCGATTTGTTCACTCCTCCATCGCTTTGAAGACTGACCATAATAAAACTTTTAAGTTGTTTAAGGGGAGGGGAGTGGGGACTGTGGTGAAGGATAACAGGTAATATGAATCTCCACAAAAGATTCGTCCCGGAAGAAATCTATGGCATGAATGTTACTTGTCGTTTGCAAGATACCTGAATATCTTTCATTTCGGGACGCTCGCTGAGTCCCTAATTTGTTTTTTCACGCTCTTTCCCCTTTCTCCGACACCTTTCCAATTTGCTCAGTAAAGCAGCCTCTAAGGAAACACTAAGTAGCATCATTTCTTACGTTTACAGGTTGGCACACGTCCACTCCATTTTTGATTCGCCTGACATTGGCGATACTTGTCTCCAACCAACTTGAAGCCGGGGTTACATTCAAAATAAACCTTACTTCGGAACGTAAAAACGTGTGATTTCACGTTGCCATGGAGAGGGATTTGTGGCCTGCCACAACTTTTAGCTGTAAACACAAAGGAAACAAAACTACCATTAATCGATCAGAAAAGCACAATCTTTACCACTAAGTAGGATACGATTTATAGCCCAGTTTTAGCACTTTTCCGAAAAACTTATCCATCGACGTAATGTTTTGCCTGAAATATTAACGTAACACCGGTGTCTTTTCCATCAAGACTAAAGTAAAGAAAGCCTTAACAGCCTGTGTGTATGAGGCGGGGGCTGAGGCTCATTGGCGTCCAAACCTGGCAACAAAAATAACTACTCTTAACAACTTCCCTGAATTATTATCACTATTATCATTATTATTACCACAAGCCGACCTTTTTTTTTTTCATCGCCCCTTGCTTTGGTCAAACACACAAGTGTTTGTTTCTTATAGTGTGAATGATTATAAATTTGTCCAAGTGATTCTGGTATCGTTGGTGGCGTTTTCAACTTACGAGAGCAAGTGAACGAAGAACCAGTCCATTTTCCTTTCGTTTTGCATGTTAGCAGGCCTATTCCGTTTTGGAAGTACCCCGTTTGACACTTCAGTAGTACTTTTTCTTGAAACTTGAACGACCGTGTCTTTTTTTGATGGGGCAACCTGAAATCGACATTTTCTGGAAGCTGTGGAGGATCACAGTTTGGAACTGTAAAAAAAATATCACATAAAAAAGGTCCCCAATTACAGTGATTGGGAAACTCACACAATTGAATGATGATAGACCATGACAGTACTTATACCCATAACAGTAGGAATAATTTTTTTTTCTAAATTCGGTTGTAAAAGTGTTGGGGGAAACTGTGTTCCAAATGAATAATTACACCCTTCAAAGAAAAGTGTACCACCCTGATCCCTCTCAAAGCAACAACAAACACAACAACTCTTCAAATTGGCGGCTTAACTTACGTTTGCATTTTGGCTTATCTTTATTCCATTCTCCCGTTGAACCACAAACAAGATATTTTGAGCCTTCCATTTCGTAACCTGGGAAGCAGTTATATTCCACTCTATCTCCTACTTCCAGATAATCTTCTTCGAAATTTCGTCGGTAGAGTTGTTTGTTACCAAAATCGATATCTCCAGGATCCTTACAGATGATTTCTTGAAGGAAAAAAAGTAAACGTTTCTCTGACAAACGGCGATGAATTGTAGCGTTTCATATTATAAAGAAAAAATTTAAATTTTCTAAAGTTTGAATTTACAGTTTTCTCATCATTCTCTTTCATTAGGTTTGATGAAAGAGAATGATTTTTAGAGTAAATATATCTTATTAGAGGTTGTGGTGTGTTACATACTGAGTATTACTGAGCATTTTCACGAGTTGTGCCGTAGTTTGACGAGCCCGTATAAAGACCATGAGTAAAAGTGCTAAGCAATATTATATAATAAGCTCAGTTATACACGCATTCTGATTGGTTCTCACTTATGATCTATTGGAGGACAGACGTATAGATGACGTCATCGTTAAAACTTTTTTTAATTCTTTATTATATAAAAGAAATAGATTCCAAGTTTCCGTGCGTCTGTTCAGTAATAGATTACAGAGGACGTCAAAATGTGGTAAGAACATCAGTGACACACTCGGCTGCGCCTCGTGTGCCACTTTTTTGTTCTTACCACATTTTGACGTCATCTGTGACCTATTACTGAACAGACGCACCGCAATTTGGAATCTATTTGTTAACTAGGCACCAAAACGTCCAATAACTCATTTATTATCCAATTGCTATCTTTTTTTAGGTATATAGCTCATTTCTCGTAGCGCGCGCAGTCGACTGGTTAAATTGGTGTTTTACAATACAAAATAACCAACTGTACAATATCGCTTAATGTTTGTACCCTATTTGCAAGTTATTTGTACTCTACTTCATGCAACTGGGTTATAACTAGGGATTTCTGTCAGAATTCAGTGAAATATTTGGTCTTTGAATCGCATCTGTGTTACTTAGTTCTATAATTCCGTCCATGATGTACTCGCGTACACTCGCACAGGATTGCTCACGTTGAGGTGCTTACTACTTGGAGTATTAACAATATTACTAAAAGAGCCATAAACAGGGCATAAAAACTATCGCAGAGAAAAAACCTCAACAAATTTAAATTGCTAAAAGAAAATTAAAAGCTGTTCCTCGTCGTCATCTTTTCGGCATAATAAAACCACCTTCTTAACTCTTACTTTCTTCTTTTTCTCGTTCTTTTCTTAATTTCTTTTCAATTACCAAATAACACAGTAACCTTACAAGAGGTCCTATATTGACTAAGGTTATTCATGATCTCAATACAAAAAAATACCATTGCTTACTACATGATGGATCATTGCCATCCCATCTCTTTATGCCACGACAAGTACGCTTCTTGGGTCCGATCAAGGTGTAAGGTTCATTGCAATTATACTTTACAACAGACCCAAGTCTTCGGGAGGAATATTTCTGTTTTCCATTCTCCAATTTTGATGGTCTTCCACATTCCAGAGCTACATTTGAAAGCAAAAAGTTTACTTTGGTATAGATATAACACTTAATTGATAGAGTCATATTTTAGCGATGAGTTATCAGAGGTGTCAGACTAGTCTAGGTACGGCGCCGTATTCCCAAATTAAACCGTGATTCAGACACAAAAGTATAGCGTTTAACAGAAAAACACATACACATGAAAAGATCGGAGGTGCATAGTCTCCTCGCTTTAATTAGCCATATTCGATGTGATTTTACCCATTTGACAGTTGATGTAGAGGCATTTAGTCGGTAGTTCCCGCTCTTCATCTTTTTGGTATTGATATAAGACTACTAAAGTGCTTTCAATCAAGGTTTCGAGGGAATGTAAATACAATTTACAGGTTTTAAAGGCCATAACCCTCAAATTATATTGCGTTGGGCTATGCTATCTTATTTCTTAAGTCTGTCAATCTCCGACACAAAATTCACGTACCATACGAGGCCAGGAGATCAAGAACGGATATGTCGACAGATGAAAATCTGACACAAGAAATCTTGAACAAAATCATGTATTTCAATTGTGAAAAGAAGATGCTCCTGCTAGTGTCATTTTTCAAGGACAGCTTAGCGCTTTATATTCCCATAATAATTGTAAAAGGGCCATAAAGCGTTTCATGAATGCAAGTAACAGAATGTTGAGATATGTCTTTTTCAAACCTTTCGGAACACAGCTGTATCCACAGTCTCCATCACAAATACATTCCTGGTTGTTTCTGCAGCTTCCGGATGTGCTTGGGTTGCATTGTCTCCTACAGAATTTCCAATGTTCACGATTGGTTCTCTTGCATACGCACTTTGGCTCACCTCTGTTCCAGGCGCCACTCCTCGCACAAGTCAATGTGTTCCTACCTTCCATTACGAATCCAGGCGAACAAGTGTAAGTCACCTTTTGCCCAACTTCTAAGCTATCATACTTCATTGTACCATTTAAGATTCTTGGTGGGACTGGGCACATCAGTTCTAGAATTAACGGAAGAAAAAAAGGAAAGGAAAGAATGCGCCTGTTGAATATTACATGAAGTAGCTACTGGGATATGTTTGATAAACATGTATCATGTAGAAGGCGTAAAGGAGCATGGCAGAAAATAGGAGCAAATAGTCGACGTGTTTTTGTGTTTGTAGTGTCAAATTTCTTTCGCGACTTATCATTCCACTAAGTTATGTGTCAAGGGAATACAATAGTGTAAAGCACCATGTCGTTCGCGTAATATGGAAGGAGATGATTCGTCCTAACAAATATCGAGAAGTTCCTTTTTCGAATAGTCTAACTGTTCAATATTTACACCCCTGAAGAAAAAAAAAGTAGAAACATCTGGAGTGAAAGTTACTGCAACTGAAAGATAGCGAAATAACTACAATGGTTAACACCCTTCGTGTTAAGAACTTTCTAACCTTAACCCGTCAGGAATCGAAAATTATGTTGTCCTGTGTTTAAATCTTGAATTCAGATAAATTTTTGCTCCTACTATTCCACTGGTTGGAATGCTGGAGCAAGCGTCTTACTCTCCTTTTAAAACAAAGTGAACACTATTCTATAATACTGAAAGATGATGGTAGATTTCCATTTTCCTAAATTTATTGAAAGTTCCAGGATTATATTACAACCCACGTATCAGGGATTTTAAAGAAAACGCGAGTGAAGTGAATAGAAACGCGAAAGAGATTCCCGTTGCCTTTCGCGAACGCGACCTCTGACTCGCGTGTACTAAGTCTAAATCACATCCCGCTCTAAAACAATCGCGCGTGTAAAGTAGGCAAGAGTGCACTACTTACTGCAAACAGGCTCCTGACCGTCCCAGGTGCCATTTCCTCTGCATGTTCTCTTTTTAGATCCGATTGCCTTGTATGGTGATCTGCATTGATACTTGGCAACTGACCTAAATGTGGTATTTTTTAATTTAACTCGACCTTTATCAATTCGGCTCAATCGTGGACACTGAAGGCCTGTAGATAAAAACACAAAAAATAAACATGGTGTTGACCTTGAAATTTTTTGGTATATTCCTCTTCCTCATAGAAACCTTGAAATTAAAGCATAAGAGCAAAAAAAATGCTGTTCTTCTTTGATTTCCTTTTTCGATGAGCAGTTGCATGTAAATTTAAACAAAACATGGGTTGGTTTGTTATCGATCTCTTTGCTGAAGCCAAAATGGAAAACCCCTCTGATAGTTGTCGCAAAGTGTACTTTTCACAGCCATTGGATAGCTTGTTTCACCTGTTCTCCCTCGAACGCGTTATTTGAGATATCACGCGCTCCAAACGTTACGTGCTATCCAAAAGAATGGCTGCGAGGGAGTTTACGTATATGATTAATTAAGGCTGTTCATTTTATTGTCACGCGTCAACGCGCAAGGACGTCACGCACTATTCATGAGTGATACGTGCGTGGGCTTCAGCATTAAATAGTCTCCATTCATCAAATAGTGAACAACGGAACTGAAGAAGGAAAGCTGATAAAAACAGAAAACCCCTAATCTTATTTGACAGTATCGCATCTATTTTTCTGAGCACCCAGATGCGCGTGCACAGCCAACTGGAGCAGTATTTCAGTATTATATTAGTCTTTAGCAACAAATACAAACCAAATAAGAATTTGGCGAGACAGAAACAAAATTAGGTGATTTATTAAATCACGATGGCAGGGCCCGATGAGTGCTTTGATTAAGAAATGAAATAAAAAAGATAGAAACAGGCTGTAACTTGCATTTGAAAAAAAAATAGAAACTATTCTTTCGTTATCTTAAACGGAATATAATTAATGACAGTTGCCAAGGTGGTCCTGCTGTGACCAAACTGAAGAGGAACACTTCTCACTTCTGTCTCAGCACGGTTCAGCGATTACGCTAATTTTGATTTTAAGCATTAAATTCTTAAATTTTGCATAAGACAGAATTTCGAAATATACATGAGAAGTTGTATTGAATTGCGCCTTAAAGAAGAAACTGAAAAGCTAAACGTTCAGGTTAGGAAATACGAGGTGGTTCATTGAGCCCGTTTTCTCGTCTTACCTCTTTTTACGCAACTATGGCCACAGTCACCATCGCATATACAATCTTCGTTTCTACCGCATTCATTCTTTGATGGATTACAGGGTTTGGCGCAGATATTGCTCTGATGGTTTGTGCGAGTACAATTTTGACTTCGAATACCTGATAACAAATTTTACAAAGATAACAATCCTCATATCGGTCTAATTTTGGGTCTGTTAATGACATTACATGTCAATGAATTGAAATTAAGATCACGGGTACTGAAAACGTAGTGCAGTTACCTTGAATGGCGAATATGGCGAGCAAAAGAATTGCGTACTTCATCGTGCTTCAAACACAATGTACCACGAACGTATGATACGCACACAGGAAGTACTATCAACAGACATACTGAGTCACGACTGGCAAAGCATGTAGTTTCAGGTTTCGCCTTCAGCTTAAATGACACCCTTGATTGATGTTGATCTTATTGTTTTGATTTAAGACGGAGTCAGAGCAACATGCTGTTTTCGTCAGTATTTGATCGGCTTTTTTCCCCGCTGCGCTTAAGCGTGGAGAGAATACGTAGATCCACAAACACGTACCACTTATAATTTCAGGTTATTTTCAGTAAATTAAGTCTCTTCTTCAGGGTCCATATGACAAAGTCTTTAGTAACGCTCTTTTATCTTACCGACGACAAGGAAAGCGGGGTAATTGAGGATGAAGTAGTGTGTGTGTGTGTTTGTGTTGGACACCGGGGGGAGGGGGGAGAAATGTGATCAAGAAAGCCTGTCTAAACAAAGGGAAGAAAAGGGTTAGTCAGCGCAACAGGAACATACGAAGTTGGGAACGTGATGGACTTGACGGTTGTGAAAGATAAGGCAAGGTATTTCCTGCCGGCTATTGTGACTATCGAGTATCTTAGCCTTAACTGTTTTTTCAACAAAGATTACGTTTCATTCCTGCCTAAATCGTCATTTGCCACAAAAGTGACCTAAATCATAAATTCGATTATGCTACATTATGTATGGAAAATTGTTTCGTCTTCATTTCGCAGCAGGAAACAAATATTATAAAAGGGGGTAAGTTTTTAAAGAAACTGTGGTGCTTCGAGGGAAAAAATTAAAAAATAGATTCCTCAGGAATAACAGTTCCTTCGTATCTATAAACTAATCACAAGTCAAACTTACCAGGGTAATTAAGTATTATCAACTGAGTTGATAATACTTAATTAGCCACCGTAACAAGTTTCAAAGCTGACATTTCGAGCGTTAGCCCTTCGTCAGAGCGAATGGCGAAAAATTACCTCCAACGAAGGGCTAACCTTCGAAACGTCAGCTTTTGAACCTCTTTACGGTGGCCAATTTACGTCCAACTCAGTTGATAATACTAAATTACCCTGTTATACTCTTCTACCGACGCAGCACCACAGTTTCTTTAGACACTTACCCCCTTTATCAAAGTCAAATTTAGCTGATGATTATAAACAATTTAAAAAGAGGCTTATTCTCTGTCTTACTTCCGTCTAAGCTTCAAAGGAATTCTTCGAATTCACCAACACTCTTGTTGTTTCGCTTAAAGGATAATTACCAAAATGACCCCCACCAACGTGTTGCAAATAGTGGTACTGTGCGTTTGCATATTTCTACCGCAAGTGGAAGGTAAGAGTAGAACTCAACCAACAACAATATCGTTTGTAGATAAAATTTGCACCAAAACATTATTTTATCAGTCCAGAATAAGTTGAACATAGTTACTCTTATCAGTCTTTTAATCAAAACAAGCTGAAACGATCTCCGATAAATTTCAGTGATATGAGAACTCAAAATAACGCCAACCATGCACCAAATGAAAAATGTGGTGGTTCTGGCGAATGCTAATTAAGGAAAAAAACATATCAAATCAAATTATATCGTGCGCCGTTGAGGGAATTAGTTGTCATCATGGTAACGTTGAATTAAAACTGTTTTCTTCCTGGTTTCTTGAGAAAAAAAGGAACATAATCACCTGATTTGCCCAAACTTGTCTCTTTACGTAAACTATACTGCCTGTTATTGCTATGCGGAGTCAATAGCCGGTTGTCTCGCATAAACAAAGATATCTGTTACACGGTGGCATCATGCGATATGGTTATTACAAAGTACAGTGATAGGACCCCCTTGCAAACTTAAATCGTGTGGAAAGGGGTGGGGAAGAACATCTTGCTTGATTCGACGACCGACCCCCTTCCCTCCCCGCCTAGAAGAAGAATTATTGACATAAGGAATTACGAGCCACCCCTTGAGAGTGAAAATTAGAAAGTCGCTCACGAATTTCCCATTTCGGGGTCAAATGAGAACCGAAATGTAACGTCAAAAGTTCTCGATTGAATTCAAACTGTCATGAGCCTCAGAGGACGCGAATTCTCAAGACCAAACATTCAAGTGAACAAAGATCAAGAGACAAGCGGTTCGTACACTATCTCACTCTCTTAACCTGCAGAAGGGCAAACGCAAGGCGAGCGTGAAGCGCGATTCACGCACAAGTGGAGTAACGCCTCCCCTCGCGCGTGAGTTGCGTATGCCTCACCCTTACCTCTGTTTGCGTTAAAAATTCAAAACAATTACTCCCGTTCTGCAGGTTAGTCTCTTGTCTAAGAAATGGAGCAGTTACATTAAAACCGTGCTTGCTTTCCCCACCTACACTACTCATCTATTTCTTCGCCGAAAACCATTGTAAGGCTATCAAAATAGAATTTGATTTTATTAAAATACAAATCTTCTTCCTAATAGCTTCATTTTGCGGACCTCCACCTCTTCCAAGCAATGCTGCCATTCGCTCTGAGTCAACAAAGCCAACATCAAGCGGTTACAGCAAAGGAACCGTAATATTATACACTTGTAAGCCAGGATATCAACGCTTGTCTGGCCTTGTTCTTGTAAAGTGCCTAGGAACAACGTGGACGAAGTTAACCTTTACTTGTGTAGGCAAGTACAATTAGTTACGAAAATGAAATTACGCCATAATACTGCCAAATCATTTGCAACTTTAAGGATAGCCTTGCGTGACTCCTCGCTTGATTGCACACATGTGAAGCCTCTTAAATAGCCGGTGACAAAGGCGTGCTTCATTAGACTTTATCCCTTTCTTGTGCTCGCACTAACGTAACACCTTCTTTTCGAGTTTTGAGTGGAAAAAATTCTACAATTTGGCCAAGCCGCATGGATACTGACAATAGAAATGTATATATCAGTACCTTTTATACTTTTCACAATGTTTCATTCATGTTACAGTCGTCATTTTGAAAGAATACTGAGAATTCTTTTGATTTTTAGCTTCGAAAGAGTGCCGAAGCCCACGTGTGCCCAATAATGGTAAAAGATTTGGAAGTGCTTACTCTGTAGGTCAAAGGGTTAGATTTTCATGTGAAACCGGATTTGTCTTGCAAGGAGCAGCAGTTATAGAGTGCTTGAAAAATAAAACCTGGAACAAAGAAGCGCCTACATGCGAAGGTAAAAACGACAAAAAAACGACAACAGAAACAGTGACTGTCTAAATAAATATCGAAGACTAACAACCATAGAGGTATCACTAAAAACGAAAAACGGAGAGTAAAAATGCCGATGAAATGGCAAATACGTCCATTACTTAAGAAAATTTGGGTCCCTTTTTTAAGCGCAGCGAAAAATGATGAGTAAAATAAACGTTCTTAATACAATTTCTAACAGCAAACACATTGAATCAGCACAAGAGACCATGAGCCCGTTGAGCAGCATGAAGACGCCCAAAGTTCAGCTACCCTTCAGTGACTAACGTTTGGACCTGTTAGAAATTGTCAGCATAACGAAAACTTTTAAAAGATATCATGAACGTTTATCTCTTAATTCCTTTAATTTTCATCACTTTGGTAGTTGTTGACTGTGGAAGTCTGCCAGATCCAGCCCATGGGATGAAAAGCAAGGAAACTAAAACTACATTCGGTGGTAGAGCTGATTTTATTTGCAGGAAAAAACGGTATTCAATCGTTGGAAGTCGAAGAAGGTTTTGTCAAGCAAATGGTGAATGGAGCGGCAAACCCACACTTTGTAAAGGTATATCTGTTCATCGCTCTTTTTTAAAGGGACAAGCTTCGTTTTTATTGCGTTTTTCAGCGATGCGGTGGCGAGCGCGAGGCGTGAACGAGGACAGTGTGGGGGAGCGAGACGCCTGGTAGGCGTGTGTCACTTGTTGCGCTCGCTACGCGCTCGCCACCGCTTGCTTAGAGGAAAAAAACGCTTGTCCCACAAGTTGATGCAGTCCCTTTTCGACTGAGTGTTGTAAAAACCATTAACATCAAATAACGCTAGAACGTTATCAATGTGCATTCAGCCCATTGCAGTAACCCAGGAGTGCCAGCCGGGGGGCGGAGAATCGGGAACAACTTTAGGCATGCAAAACAAGTGAGTTTCCAGTGTCAAAAATCGCTGAAGATTCAAGGGCCCAGGAGAATCATCTGTTACGATGGCAGCTGGAGTGACCGTAAACCCAAGTGTCTGCCCCCCTCGCAAGTGAAAGGTAATACATTGTTCATCTGCCTCTCCTTTAAATCTTTCTTCGGAAAACCACCACATCAGTCAATCCACAGAAGTATTTTTGTTCCTTCCCCTTTCCTCCATTTTTTTTTTACCTTTTTTCAATGGCTTTCCATTTCAAAGAAAACGCCCCCTCCCCCTCCTTAAATAAAACTGTGGGACTGAAAATAATTAGTTGGTAAAGGAATTAGGCGAAGAGCTAGAGTTAAAAAAATTACTTGCTCAATTGTAACACTGCTGCATTTGTCATTTTCAGATTATTCCAAATGCGGTGAAAGGAAGAGAATCCGCCTTTCTCGAATGGTGGGTGGTGTTATCAGCACCCACGGGATGTGGCCTTGGCAAGCTGGACTTTATCGAATTGACCAAACGACCGGTGAGATATGTAATGATGCCTAACATTGTACCCTTTTTTTCCGAAGGCTCCTTCTCAGTTCAACAACTTTCACAAAACTAAGTGGGATGCCAAATCTAACGGGGCGCTCGGAATAGGTGCGGAAAAGAATGGACAACACGGAATACCGGACGAGTGTATGAATAGGGAACTCTCTGCTTTTCTGACACATTCCCGAATGATTAACTCAAAAATCCCCAAGGAGAATACGAGCTAATAAGATGAACTGTTCCGGAGACACCTTTTGCATCTAGCCGTATTTATCTCATACTGTACGAACAACTACCAATAATCCAAGTGAGCAACAAGAAAACCGAAAATATCATAATGGCGAGGCTCCTTCAGTTGATAATAATCGATGCGATTGCTTTCTTATTCCTTCAGCGCAATCTGTCCTTCCTCATCCCTGTTTTCCTCGTGCTGACGTGGAGCTGCGCGTTTGATTTAGAGATTGTTTTCGTTTAGTTTGATATTTGCATTTTGTATGTAGGAAAAGAACATTTTCTCTGTGGAGCTGCCCTTATCACTCGACAGTGGATAATCACTGCTGCCCACTGCTTCATGTACACACACGCGGATGACCACGTTAGAAAATCTCTCATTTCACCCCCGGAAATGTAAGTTTCCTCTATATTTGACTTTGACGTACTCAGAAAGAATCCAGACTTAAAAGACTTAAACTTTCATCGTTTGCTCCACGACTTTCGCAATTTTTCTGTGGTTCGCTTTAGTTTGAGACCGATTTTTGTGAGAGCGCTATACGCCTCTACGACGCCTCTAACTGAAGTGGGTTTTCTCTTCAGGTACAAGATTAAGGTCGGTGACAGTGTGCGCACCATAGAAGAAGCCTCGGAACGAGTGTATTTTGCGACTAAAATAATCATGCATCCCAAATACCACGACGAATACAAAGAAAACGATATTGCCTTAGTCAAGTTATCTTTCAGAGTCACACTTACTCGGAATGTACGTAAAGTTTGCCTTCCACAGGCAGAAAACAGCACGTCATACCACGAAAATGCAACACCTGGAGCTCATGGATTTGTTGCTGGTTGGGGAGCCACCCAAGTTCTTAATCCAGGAGAGACAGCAGACTCGAAGTATTCCTCATCAGCGGTATTAAGATCCGCTCAGTTTCAAATTCAAGACTCGAAACTTTGCCAGAACTCTACTGATTATCACTTTAACGACTCGTTAGAATTTTGCGCTGGAAGCGATAGAAATGGAATCGGACCATGCACGGGCGACAGTGGAGGGCCTTTTGTTATGAGGGTGTTGAAGGGCGGTGCATGGAAGTGGGTCACTGTAGGTCTTGTAAGCTGGGGAGAGGGCTGTGGTATTTACGGTCGATATACATTCTACACCAAGTTGGCTCCCTATGTTGACTGGATTAATCAGCATGTTCGTAAGTAGATGAGAGTTAAAAAAGCGTTAAAAAAGAGTACAAATCTTGAGCTACAGCATTATTTTCTCTTAGCCGAAGTCATAAACTGACCAAACGCACAACAGCTCAGAAAAACTTAGCGATGGGTGTATAACACTATCATAAATTTAATGTATGTCTATAAGATTAAATCTTGACGACGCCTGTATTTTTGTAAACAATGATATAAGACAACAGGACAAAAGTGTGTTTCCTACGGTCGCAGGCAGCTAAACGTTTCTGACTTCTCTGAAGCCCTGAAACAGCCAATTTAATCCCATCATGTTTTAAAATAAAAATAAGCATAGGGGGCGCTATCATTTGGAGTGAGGTGATTTCGTTGCTTTTTTCTTTTACAAGAAGATAAATAGACAACACATTTACAAGGTTACAATTCAGCTCGATCGATAAACCTTTTCCTTTGGACTGCACTCCTACGCCTTTATCATTAAAGCTGTAGATTTTATTCCATGCAGTTTCGCTCTTCTAAATCTATGGAATGACCTAATTAAGATCATCTGAGAGCGTAGATTTACAACTGAGACCTAGCATATGTAGCAAATAGACTGAGACCTGTCCTTTTATCTTTAACGCTTTTGCACAGTAATGGTCGATGACCTGATAACTTATGTTATAGTTTTTCAAGAGCCGAGTTTAACTTTATCGTTTTATCGTTTATTCGCTCCCCAGCCCTTATAGCCCGGCCCAACGATTTAATTGAAAAACCTGAAGTGGTTATGAACTGTCCTATGTTTAATGTTAAGGAATAGCGATGAAGCGTAGACATCTGATGGTGGCCCACGAGTCCTTATCTTATGTTGTAGGATATTTTCAGTAACCGAGAGATCACTGATGTTCAAGTTTTCTTAGATGTCCTTGTCAGAAGAAATGATGCTTCAAACCCTTTTCAAAATGAGATCTTTTAAATCTTCAGGAAAACATTTTTAGTGAAAAGGCAATACGCTATCAGAACCCACAAGGCAGTTCCAGCTAAGCTCATGCCCAATTTCTCCGCGTGGCCGCCATACGCATCCATCTCCCAGCTGAAGGGAAAGTGTCTCCACAGAATACCATGACCAACGTAGACAAGAATGGAGTTCATACCTATAAAAGAAGAGTCATGCATCCCAAAATAAACAAAATTATCGAGAAAAATTGGAGCGTCAAACTTAAACCCTACAAATGGCCTTAATTCAAAGTTAATCCCTTTTAAATCATTCCTGATTCCAAAGATCCTGATGGAATATAGAAATAACCAATTTTATGTCATTGTTTTCTGACACATGACCATTCAAGTCCTCTAATGAATTAACATTTTCCTCCCACAAAATTAATCAAGCAACAAGAGCGCTAGATGCAATCTTTGGAAGACCAGATAGCTTGATTATGAACTAAAGTTCCGACAGATCTTCCCTTGGAAATAGGATCATATAAGGCGTTTGAGCTCTTACGTCAATTCTCTCTTGAACCAAAATTATAAGATGTAGTGTCGCTTGATTTTGACTTTTATGCCATATTTATCGATGAAAATCTACGCACTGGGTTGTTTGGGATCAAAATATATGATACATCACATGGAGACAAGAACGTTATATCGCGGTTTATCATGAAGACAATGAATTGGGTGTGACGTCACGTGTTGGTTCCCTGATAGGGTCCCTCTTTCTAATAAACAAACAAGTTAGACATCGTAAGGATACATTATCAGCGATAAGCCCCAAAGATTTGAGACAGTTTGTCAAAGGAAAAAATCATAAGTTGTGGAATGTTAACTCATGCATCGTCCAAAAATTGTCACTAATTTTTTGTTTTGTTTTGGACCAGATGATCTAATAAAAAGCGTTTTAAATAATTGGGTTTCCTGTAATCGTAATAAATTCCTTTGTATGTTTACATCTTAGCAGTTTTCTTAGACTCTTACCTGGGTAAAAGAAGGGTGCACCATTCCACCAATCCAGGACGTCAGTCAGAAGATAACAAATAGCAAACAGAAAGAATGCACTCGCTCCCGTGGCTAAGATGAACGACACCGACCTAAAAAGATATTTCCTCTTTGAAAAATATTTTTGGCTGCTAAACAATGATAATTTCGTAAATTAAAGTTTTACTGCCAGTGCAAAATATACTTGTAAACCCAAGCAGCTTCAGGCGTGGCCCAAGTTATCAGGGCGCGAAATTTAAAATCAAAATGGATCATTTTGTTACCATATATTTTTGTTGATTGGAACGATCCCTTCATTTTTTGTGGCTCCACACAGGCCCAACGTAAATGCAGTCTGAAGAATGTAACATGAAAATTATTTCAAACCTTCACGTGTGATTCAATGCTGGTTAAAAGCTAAAATGTTTTCTCTATTATAAGATTATCATTGAAACCTCTCACCATCAGAACCGCCCAGGTTATCCACCTGATGAGTCGTGGTCTATGTTTGGAATGAATTGTCAG